CGGGGATTGCGAAAGATAAGCGCCGTTTCATGGCCGGGGCTGCGGATGGGTCGCGGCGTCGGCCAGGTGTTGGGCGGCGTTTGCTCGGCTGTCAGTGGTGGGCGTGCGTTTACGTGGCTGTCAGTGGTGGGCGTGCGTTTACGTGGCTGTCAGTGGTAGGCGTGCGTCGGAAAACCAGGACTCTTCTACGAGGCTCACCGCCGCTGCAGTTGCCTCAGGAAGGGCGCAGGTGTTGAGAGCTCAGGTTCAGGTTGATTACATAGCCCGTCGGAGAATTTCCCGCTGCAGCTGTGCGTCGATGTCCTTGTGGCTCACTACTTGAATGTTGGCTGTGGTCATGGCTCCATTTGCAATCATGCACGTACGCGCAATCGTGGGAGCATCTGGCCCTCCCTCCCCTCTCCCCTGATTTCCCTTGTCCGTTTCCAACTCTTCTTCCTCTCTCTCTCCTCCTCTCCCTCACACTCTCTCTCCTCCCTCTCGTTTGTCTGTCTGTCTCTCACCACCCCCTCTCTCTCTTTCTCTCACTCTTTTCTCTCCTTCCCTCTCTTTCTATTTTTCTCTCGTTCTCTCCGTATCCCTCTTTATTACAATTAATCTGACTGTATTCAGGCACATCTTGGATGAAAATGCCAAAAAAGTTATGTGAAATTACCATGTTACTGCATCATTTTCTTCTGAATTTGTTTTCAAAATTTGACACACCGCGATCCATGACGTGATATTACTCAGCAAATATTTTTTATTTGCTGATAAGGGGATGGGAGGGGGAGGGAAAGGGGAGGGAGGGGGGGGGGGAAGTTGTAGTACAGCTGTTTTGTAAGGTTTGCGGCCGGTTCTCTGCCAGGATGGAGGGCTGATGAAATAGGCTCTGTGAAGCTGACACGCGAAGCTGAAAGATGATACAGTGACGTGTGTAGAAATATATGTATTAGTGTGTACCTATATCTGCAGAAGATATCAGATTATTTTTTATCTTTTGTAAGCTACATTTGTTTGTTATTGTTATTCAGATTTTTGTTTTTATTTTGAATTTTTGTACACAACAATTGTAGTTCAGTTTTATTCCATTCCGGGACACAGTTCGCTTTAGGCTTCGTTAATCCTCGAAGGTGACGGAAGGAAATCTTGCTATTGCTTTTGACCATTCCGGGTTGCTCGCGAAGCCCGACTTGTACACGGTACTGTGTTTGTTTCTTATGCATTACATATATATATATATATATATATAATATATATAATATATATATATATATATAATATTGTGTGTGTGTGTGTGTGTGTATGTATATTACATACATACATACATACGTATATATATATGTATATGTATTTATATATTAATATATTATATATATAATATATATATATATATATATATATATATATATATATATATATTATATATATCATACATATACACATATATACACATACATACATACAGACAATTTACATTTTGTATGCATGTATATAAATAAATAAATATATATAATATAGATAGATAGATAGATAGATAGATATATGTACACACACACACACACACACACACACACACACACACACACACACACACACACACACACACACACACACCACACACACACACACACACACACACACATATTGTATATAGACAGATAGCGAGAGAGAGAAGTAAACTAAAGAGACAGAATGCGATGAGAGAGTGAGAGGAGAGAGTCGTGCGGGAGGGAGCCTCGCAGGACGAGCGTGAGGACGGTCGGGATCAAAGCAATAAAGTTCAGTCACCTTTTCATCCAACAACAACAACAACAACAAAAAATAAACAAAAATAAAAGAAAGAAAGAAAATTATATGAATTCCAAAAACACTCCACGTCGAACCGAAGTTAGGATCTGGCTGATGAAGAAGCTAAGAAAAGTCTTTACTGGTCGGATTATTTACTTAAGTACTCGAGAAACTTGAGGCTGGAGCAGCGAGAGAGGAAGCTGCGGAGGAAAACCCACGTTTTATGTGTCACTTTCTATGTATTTTGTTGTATTAGCACTTGGTCCTTCTCTTTATTGAATTTTTGTTGACTTTATTATTTTAACCGATGGATCAATTTGTATTGCGATTTTTTTTATTTTTGATAAAAGTGCACTGAAGTAAAATGTTTGCATGTATGTTTAGATTTGTTATATACATCACACGCACACACACGCACACGCACACACACACACACACACACACACACACACACACACACACACAACAACACACACACACACACACATCACACACACACACACACACACACACACACACACACACACACACACACACACACACACACACACACACCACACAACCACACACACCACACACATTTGAAAATTTATCGTGAAAGTGCTGCGTTTGTTCGTCGCTTTCGGGCGCGGAGAAATTGCTTGCTCTAAAAGGGAGTTTGACCTTTGCTTGCGGCTGATTGCTGGCTGTTTTTTGTGGAAGACATGACACGTGATTGTGTTTTTGATTG